CTCTACAAAACTGGATCTAAGCAATCTCTTGATTTTGCATGGTTCGACTGCAGGACCAAATTTCCTGAGACCCCCAGGACTAGGCCTTTTTTCAGTTGCAGCGCTTCATCAGTAGGTGAGCACATAGGTTTTCGATGCTTCTGAATCTCGTGGCAATGCTTGTTTGATCAACCGAGTCTTTTTTCTCTTCGGTAGTGGTGGTATTATATCACTAAGTAGCGGTATTCTCTTGAAAAAACCTTTTTTCACATAAATTAGCTGTTTTTGTAGTCAGAACTTCAACTTGAAGATGAAGAAGACAGCCATCGACTTCGACGAACATCTTCAGCGTCTTCATCTTCTTCTCAATCTACCACCGTTATTCCTACCCCATTGTCTCCACATCCTACCTCATTTGACGCCACAACGTTGTTGCACTTTGGATGGGGAAATCAGGAACTTCGGCGTGGAGATTCGTTAAAATTTTGTTTAATGTGGGATATTCTCGTTGGGCTAACAATAAATGAAAATGTAGCCGAATTGAATCTTGTTCATACTCAGATAAAAAAATTTTCGGTCGACCCGAACGTTGACGTTTACGAGGAGACAATGAGGTAGGAATAACGGTGGTAGATTGAGAAGAAGATGAAGACGCTGAAGATGTTCGTCGAAGTCGATGGCTGTCTTCTTCATCTTCAAGTTGAAGTGTCTTCATTTCTTGTTTTAGATTCTTGACCGATCCTTCGGATGTGTTTGGTCAACCGAGTCTTTTTTCTCTTCGGTAGTGGTGGATCTAAAACGTTTTTTCTGGCAGAGCGGAGAAATGTCAAGGATATACTGCGTTCAAGAAAACTTTAAAAGCACAATGCTCATCAGTAGTAATGATCAGGTACACCTTCATAAATGAGTTTTGTTTTCAATTATCAGCAGAGCTATTATCATCGAGAAGAACTGCTAGATATTTTTAATTGTCTTACCCTTTTCTGTAGTATGGAGTATGGACCAGTGAGCAACACTCACACCTTATACAGTCTTTTCTTATTTAAAGCTAATTTTTCTTTTGTGAATGCTCTTTATCATTTATGCAGAATAAATATAGGTTTTAGGTAGAATATTGACAGAAGAATATTGATACAAGTTTAAATTTGTTTCGACAAAAACTAAGCGTAAAACATTATTTACTAGTTGAATGTTTTTTTCGAAAAAATTATTATTGACAAAAATTATTGCTGTGCGGGTTTTCATTCAGTTTAGAATGGGCTCTTTACTAAAAATAATCGAGAATAGCGAAATACTCTTAGATGATATTGTTACTAAATTATTTTAACTTCATTTAGCTTTCAAGAAAATTAATAACAGTGGTTTGTTATCTTTTTTTATTTGAATTTTTTGTTTTCTATAATAATAAAAAGATTCTCTCGCTGATGTTGACTGCCAGAAATAATAGAGTAAGAAAGTAAAAACAATGCTCGTCAAACGAAACAGACGAATATATATCGTTGTCTATGGATATATATTTATATAACTCAGAAAATATGAGCGAATAAGAAACATGAAAAGAACGATCTTAACCAAGTTTGAATATCTACCTATTGATGTTATTTTTGAAATATTTTCTTATTTATCTCCTGTTGATATTCTCCAATCATTTTTATCATTGAATAAACGTTTTTCAACAATGATTTTGCATCAATATTTGTGGCACATTCATATCGATGGTAATACCATGTCTTTATCAATGTTCAAGAATATTTGTCAAAACGTGTTAAAATGGATAGGAGGTCGAGTAATCTCATTACGTATTACATTGATCGATGTTATTGGGGGTTGGTCACTCGTTTCATCCTCTCTAAACTATCATCAAACAACATTACTTCGACGTCTTCATCTAATTGATATTGAACCGCATGAATTTGATAAATTATTACGTAATCGTTTAGTAAAACAATTACATACTTTACTGATCGATGTGACAAATTCTAGTCCATTTAACTATCAGGTAGTAGAAGGAGCATATCTAGCTAAGGTAAGAAAACAAATTCGACTCAAGTTCATTATGAAACTCGTAGATTTTTGTTTGAAAGAAAAAAGTTGTAATATAATGAAGAATTTTTTTTATTATTTTCTGTGAAAGGTGTGTTCATGTCTGGCTGTTTTAACAATCTGTCGACTTCCATTTAATTTTTGTCTTATCAGTCGGAATCAATTATCAATATAGTCAGCACCGCCACTGATGATCTTACCAAATCATCTTTCCAATACAATTTATCTTCGTACACTAACGATTGGTATAAACACATTACGCTTTCTAGAACATTTAGTAATATGTATACCTTTCATTGAAAATCTGTCTGTTGGTGTACGAGATTCAGTGTATTATTACGACGATAAATTTGACATAATCCCGTAAGTAACATCCTAGAATCTCTAAAAGTATCATTACAATGAACGTTTTAAATTACCTGTTGCCGTTTGATGCTCGTCATCTTCGTCGTCTATCTCGTCTTAGTATGAACTGTTTCAGTATAAGAATTTTCCATGGAGCCGTTGCGCTTTTATCATCTGTGTTTGGTCAACTTAGGGGTGGCACTTTCCCGTTATCGTTACTGTAACGGGTAATAGAAACCTGTTACCAGTAACGGTAACGGAAATCCGTTACCTCTTACCCGTAACGGGTAATGGAAAGCCGTTACTCGTGTTACTTTTGGAAAGTAACGGGTGAATTATTTTTTCATTAGTAACGGGCGAAAAAAATTTTTCATTAGTTACAGAAGTTTAACAAAATAAATAACGGGTTATCGAAACAAGAACAAGAATCTTTTACCGTTACTTTCCGTTACTTACTTTGTAAAGTAATGGATTTTTGTTACCGTTACTTGTAACAGGTAACGGCTTTCCATTACCCGTTACCGGTAACAGGTAACAGATTTTCGTTGCCGTTATTTGTAACAGGTAACGGCTTTCCGTTATCCGTTACTGGTAACAGGTAACGGATTATCGTTCCCGTTACTAGTAACTAGTAACGGAAAACTGTTACTTTTCGGAGTAAAGTAACGAAAAGTAACAACTTTCTCATCTATCACTGAAATTAGATGCATTAACATCAATCTCTGGTCCATTGGTTATTTCAGGTGATATTATTCAACAATTATGCATCGATCGTCTCAAAACATCGGCAATCTATACACTTAATCTATCAATCACTGTTATAAACGACACGGACGATAAAATAATTTTCAATTCATTTATTAAAGCTCCATTTACTCGCCGAGAACGACCTAGGGTGTTTATCCAAGAGTGTGATAGTTGGGAGATTAATCATAATTACCATTTTATAGTATACACTCCATCATATAATGACACAAGTCCAGGGGCGTAGCTAGCATCTCAGAGCAGGGGGATGGTCCTGCCCAAAAAATTTTTTGTTCTTTCAACCAAAAAACGTTTGTGTTGAAGCGGGGTGGTGACCACCAAAAATCAGGGGGGTGGTGACCACCCCCCAGTAACTACGCCTCTGCACAAGTCTTCCAACGTACCTCTTCTCTACAGATTCGAAAAGGTATGTAAAATATATCCTGTTTATATGAAAGATTTATAGATATCTGCTTTTCTTTTTATGTAGATCTTCTCAAATGTCGATTAATCCAGTAGATTTGTTTCCGCACACTGATGAATTGATCCTCAGTGATACGCACAACAATACTCTAGCAGATCTCTGTAATTGTAAAAGTTCAATATCATCATGGTCATTGTTAACAAAAATTTTGATCGATGAATGTAATGTTGTTACTGGAGATAAATTAGAAGCCATATTACAAATGGCTTATAATGTGCATACACTACATATTGATAGTTTCAATGGGATTTTATCCCGCGCGATATTCGGTGCTCATGAAAATCTCAGAACTCATGTCAGTGGACAAGTAAGGATGTCTGTTTTAAAAGATAAATATCATTGAATTCAGTTTCACTGAGAGTTCTGCTTTGGCCGGTAGTTATCTTTCATTCGGGGAAAATCTTTTTCTAAAAGTTATTCAAATTTGATGTTAGAGTGGAACGGCTATTTCAAAGTTTTAACTTATGTAACTAACGAGGAACCCTACCCAGGTGTCCAATCCCGTTTGAATTCATTTTGCTGATCGATAGGGCACATGAAGTAACAAAAATCCTGAAAGGATTTGGGCCCATCTTTGCGAGTTATGATTGATTTAGTGAAATTCGAGTTTTTGTTATTTTTACTATAACCCACTATCCCAAGAGCTGAAACTCACAGCAATAACAGTCCTAAGCACAGCCCGTATGCTGTAAAAGTTTCCAACCTTAGTCTTGCATCCTTCATGAGAAATCGAATTTTCTGTTTTTCATAGCGTATCTGTATTGTCTTGTGATCTGTAGCTGAAAAAAAATCTAATCGTGTAATTCAGTAACTGAAAGGATTAAAAAGCACTGTAGTAGAGTGAAGAAATGATTGCATCGATTTATAAGTGACAAAGTAGGGTTGATAACGGAAAAGAAAATCACTTCATCTACAGATCACAAGACAATACAGATACGCTATGAAAAACAGAAAATTCGATTTCTCATGAAGGATGCAAGACTAAAGTTGGAAACTTTTACAGTATACGGGCTGTGCTTAGGACTGTTATTGCTGTGAATTTCAGCTCTTAAACTTATTGGGATAGTGGGTTATAGTAAAAATAACAAAAACTCGAATTTCACTAAATCAATCATCACTCGCTAAGAAAGTCGCATGGACCCAAATCCTTTCAGGATTTTTGTTACTTCATGTGCCCTATCGATCAGCAAAATATGAGCTCAAACGGAATTGAATACGAGCAGCTGCTGATATGGGAAGAAAACTGAGTTTTCTTAATGAAAGAAGGGAGTTGTCCGAAACCCATCCATAGTTTTTTAGGCACATATATGCCGATTATAAGTAATGAAAAAGAATCATTTTAGCATGTGTCTATAAAGAGTTGATGTGTTTGGAAGGCACTCCGTCGGCGGCTATGCGATATGTCTGTAATCCTACCCATGTCCAGGCTAACTGTATCTTCGGTTCTTGTTAAAGTCTTTTCTTTCTGCAATCAGCTTGCCTGAAAACTCAGAATAAAATACTTTGGAAAGGCTAAAGCAATGCTAAATGTGAGAACATGGCACTATACCACCCATATTTCAAACACTCATATCACTTTTACGTCATTTTAGATATAATTGTATTTTCGAAACTTTTTTTACAAAAACCGGTCTGAAAACTTAAAAACGACATTTTCGAAGGTAATTCGAGCTGTATCTAACTATATCCAAAAAAATCGTAAAAAAAAGTTTTGCTTAAATTTCGAATTACCGGCACCTTACGCATAATGATTGAACCTACCGACAATTCCTGCAATCATTTTTATACTGAGAAAAAATAATTAGAATTTTAGCCGTTAATTCTTTTTAAAAATGCAACTATTCATTTGAATTGTGTTTTAATGGACGAAGTTCACTCGTTAGGTGGTCATATGAAATGTTTGGTTAGACAGATAGAAACTAGAGAATAGAGCGTAGAATGTCTTCTTACAGTGTTCGATCTTAATAAAGATGGTCATAATGAAAAAGCAGTGACCTCTGTCGAGAAATAGATGTTTATTCATGATTTACCTTAAAAATATATAGTTTGATGAAGATAATAAATAAATTGATGTCGACTGGTGCTCGAATATTTTTTTGTTTGATATTTAATAAAAAAAAAAAAAAATAAAAATTGTTTTTTATTTGTTTTCTAACCAATTGTTTAGAGAAAACGATCAAATATTTTAGTTGATATATCACATCGTGAAGAACAACGTTGTTTAAATATGGAACAATATGAAAGACAATGAAAAATTGAAGAAAAACTTCGTCTAAGAGATAAATAAAAAAACATTGTTTTACTAAAAGTTTTCTTTTACAGAAATATAAAATTGATTACCACAAAATTTATTTTCAATATGTTTAACTAAAAACTTTGACTAAGATAAAACTATTTCAATATGAATTATTTAAATAAATAGGTTGATTAAAGAAATTTCAATAACGGTCATCAATTCCTCGATCACCGTTTATTTATCTATTCAGCTTTATTATTAAGTACTTGAAAACCTGATTGAGAAAGAAGTGCAAAACATTCATAACCAGTATGTGCCCCACAACCAAATTGATCTTCATCAATAAATATTGGCTGTGGTAGATAATAAAGAAGATGCATGCTTACCATTGGTTTTTGACACATTGATTTGAAATAATCGTAAGGTAAACCAAGAGCTAAAATAAAAGCTTCTAAGAGTCGCTGACTAAGAGAAACCATTGTTAAATAATATTGATCATAGATACACTCGCAAAATTCTAAACAAATGCATTTAAGTCAATAAATCATTTCTTTTTGCTTTTTCACTTGATTAATATTTACCTTCGAGATTATCAGGCCAGAAATTAGGTCTATATAAAGAAGCACCTCGTTTTATTCGATCTTTATCATCAGCTGGTGATTCCATTGCTAAATCAAAACCTTCTTTAAGATCACCTTTAGGGCTTAATCTTTCTTCAAACATTGGTGTATAACCTCGATTATTTCCATATGGACATGAACCAATATAAAATATCAATTTTTCCATGGGAATGATCCAACCACTAGATGTGTACTGGAACAGACAATATAAACACATTGTTCGTACAATTTACGACCACGTAAGACTTTATGAATTAGACTGTAATCTTGCTCAACGCAATAATATCATAAAGTTGAATAGTTTAGCTTATAATCAAGTTTCATCGCCAAAACTCATTGATACGACTCGTTATGTCTGGTATTAGTCCGGCTATCTTAAAACGAATCCAGGCCCATTCAAAAATACAGATGAAGTCTGTTTTTCATTTAAAGATACACGCTGTCATGAACAGAACTGTCAGAGTACTCCTCTTATTTGTTGTAGTTACTGTTCGAAAGTTCTTTGTTTTTCACATTTTTTCGAACCATATCATATTCATTGACTTCAAGCTTAGGTCAATGTAGAAAAGTTTGTAAATAGGTGTAGTTGAACCACAAATATAGAGGAATGAGTATCATTCTGAACAGAGATGATCGAGAATAAAAAGCCTTATAACTCAGAGAGGAAAAGTTGTAAAGAGCTCAAATTTTCGGAGTGAAAAGAAGGTGTCTAGTACTACAATGTGTAAACGTTTCAAAACGACCCGACGTAAAATGACTGAGTTATGAGATCTTTGAATTTAGTGGATTTTGGCTGGGAAAATTGGAAAAATCTCCACAACTTCTGAACCAGGAGGTTTGGGCCCAAACCGTTTTAGGCTTTTTACTGTCTCAATATGGGCTATCGATCGACATAGATTTGAAAAAAATCGGAGTTGGGCAGTTGGAAATGTGTCCCTCGTGAGTGATTTTAGTACTATAAGAACTAATTCACGTTTGCTGTTTAAATTTTAGTTGAGTAGTTCCATGAAAAATCTCTCACATATACGAAAGTTTCTGCAATAAATACAAAAATTGTAGGATGTGTGGTACTCGTCATGCTGAGAATGGTAAGAAAAAGATTTAAAATCTCTTGATATCATGGTTTAGGACGGCTTACAAATTCGTTTTGCTTATAAACTGATTGGCTTGATAAAATTCATTTTTCTACTGAACAGTTTACTCTAAACTAAACACCAATATATGATTTCGCATTCGATTCCTCTCGTCGTTTTCTACCTAATGTCCGAAAGAGCAATCATCTGTGGGCCATTTGGCGTTTTTCGCTTGAAAGAGTAATGTAAAATTATGAAGTTGTACAAGTTTTAAAATGGACTCAAAGCCAAAGTGCAACATATTCCGATACACTAAAATCGAAATATTTCCACTGAAGAGCGTGATAAAAAAGTTGCGGCAATATTTAAGTTAGTGCTAGGAGCTTTAAAATATCTAAAAACTGCTAGACCACCCTTACAGAAAACGTATTCGAGAAATAGCCTTAATATTCAGAAGTGACGACTCACCACTGATCGCGTAACGCGCTGAACATGTAATTAAGTTCATCTGTAACCACTATACTAACTTAAATACTACCGCAACGTCGACTTCTTCAGTGAAAATATTAGTGGTACCGGAATATGTTGCACTTCGGCTTTCAGTCCATTTTAAAACTTCTGCAACTTCATAATTATACATTACTCTTTCAAGCGAAAAACACCAATTGACCCAGAAATGATTGCTCTTTTATATAAGACGGAAAAGTAGAAATATTCTTTTGGATCGGAATAATGTTAGATGGTAGCAAGTTGTCATTTATGTGCAAGAAATCTCAAACATTTGTCAATCGTTAGAAAAAGACGCTAGTGCTATTTTGTAGAGCTGGTCTAGTACTACAATATGGACATGAACCAATATAAAATTTCATTTTTTCTTCAGTTAATTGAGAAAAAAAACGTCGGGCTTGTTTATAAACACGTTCAATAAGTGATGATGATACACCATGATTTGATAAATAGTAAAAACCAACATTACGACAAGCATCACCTATTTGTGATGATACTTTTTGACGATCTTCATCTGTTCCATTCAGAAAAGGATCAAAGTCAATTAAGGGAATATGTGTAAACATTAATTCGTATTATTTTCAATACACATAAATGTAATAAAGATAAATGATATCGTCTTTCCTTTATTTTTGGCATGTGAAAATAATCACTATGGACTACTATCACAATAAGTGACATCCAATATCTATCTTTTACACGTGTTGTTTCTTTCGTTCTCTCGTTATAGCCATATTATGTTCTCCTTGCTCTTTTAGATAACGATCAACCTTCATTAACAGATATACGTACTTTTTTTAATATTCACAAAAAACTTTATTTTTAAAACTGAAGTCTAATAGATTTGTTTAATATAAAGATTTTTCTTGTCAGTAGATAAAGTTAAATACAGTAATTGACAATAAGTAAATCTATAATTTTTACATTAATATCATCCAACGAATATGATGAATATACGTTCTCTACCACTAATTCTTTCTTGTCTATTTTGAAAATTACAAAAACTTATTTTTTATTGTATTTTCATCGTAAATTGTAGTTTTTGTTTAAGTGTTGACTATTTTATTTTCGAGTGATATATTTCAAAAAAAATGTACTCGTCATCAAATAATAACAGATAAATTAACAAAAATATCAATTTTCCTTTAAACTATTTATTTTTGTTTTATTTACAAAAAATAAAAAAGCTTTTTTATTTATGTTTCATTATCATTAATCCACAGAAATAACATCAACATCAGAATCATTTCCATCATGATCAAGCCCATTTCCATCATGATTAGGTATGCACCGGTATCGGTATTCATACCGAAATACCGATATCGAAAATACCGATACCGAAAATACCGACTTTTTCCACTTAGAATTTTTTGGATTTCATTTGAAATGAGATGTTTTAGCGTCCTGGACACCCAGAATGAATCAGGGACGGAAAACAAGAGCTTTGTTTGCTTTCTAAAGCCAAAGTTTTTCTTTTCTTTCTATCTGAACATGCTCAAAAT